ATTGTTACTTTATTTTTTCAATACAATCTTATAAAGAAAAAAATTATATTTATAAATTTTTTTAGATTTTTGGTTAATTGAAACTTGTTTTTTAAATTATTACAAATTTTTATTGATGAATTAGAAAAAAAATAATTAAGTATAAAATTTTGATTAAAAAAATCGTAAAATTAAGCACAAAATTTTGATTTCGATATATTTTGTTGGACCCACAATATGGCAAGAACTATCAAATTAGAATGATTTTTTATAAATAATTTTATATATTTTACCCGATCCACAACGTAAAGCAACCGGCTAGTTAGTGACTAAAACTAGAAGAATATAGGAGCTGGAACTAGAAAATAGGTTTAGGGTTTGTAGACAACCTCTAAAATGTATTCTTATTGATAAAAAATAACAAGACATTTCTAAAAAGTAAGCTAGGCAGCTTTATTTATACTTGTCCTATGTAGGTTTAAATCCATATCCTTATCGGCAAAGCAATCACTAATAGAAGTTATAAAGACAAATATAAATCCAAATAACACAAGGATTCCTAAATTAAATAAGAAAACTAAAACTACTAAGGAAAATATTAATTCTTCTAAAAGCTCATGCGTCACCAAGCGTACCAAATTACATTATAGGAATTGAACAAAAAATTTCCTCAACCATTGCAGGAGGAATTCCTACTACCTAGCATGCGGCAAGCTCTCAGGCCACCACGAGTTGGGCAGTATTTATTACTTCATAAATACTTGGGGAATCAAAAGCATTGATTTAAGAGTGATTGTTATACCCATTCATGCGTAAAGGTGATAAAGTGATAATAAACAAGAAAATTTTATTGACCAAAAACTATGAAGCAATTAATGATATTCACACGTGCTGGCTAGAGAGCCTACTTGCTTAATTTATAATCATTTAGGAATTTTATTGTTTAATTGTAAGGGGAAACCTCAATTTAGCCCATAAGTCCACAACGTATTTATCAATTTGAATTCCAAACCTATTTATTTATCAAATTTGTTCACATGTAATCGACATTAGATAATGTCACCCCTCCATTCATACAGTAGTTAAAAGATTTCCTCTAATTTGTATGTGCTATTTTCACCCAAAACAAAGCCCAACCTTCTGTAAATGACCATTTTAGCATCAAAGCGTACTAAAATTTCCTTTTCCTTCCCTCTGCTTCACTAGCTTGTATAACAAGAAAATTTATTATGATTCGATGATTAAGTTAACTTTTACTAAGTACGAAATGACAATATATATACGGGTTAACTACAAAAATGCTTTTGCCGATCCAATCGAGTCAATTTTACTATATAAAGGAGGGAAGATATCTCTCTCTCTCCCAGCCAATAATTGCAACATTTCACACACACATTGACAGAGAGGGAGATGGATTTCAATCACGTAGCCTATAAACCTCATACTGTTTTGCAACTTTGCATACTGTTCCCAACCCGGGGTCACATAACCCCAATGTTAAAGCTAGCAAAACTCCTACATTTTAAAAGTATTGAATGCTATTGGATCTTCTCAACCCCAACAATCTCAACCTTCTCACAATCGGCCTACTGGTACGTGAAGAATTGTTTAACATGGGTTCTGAGATTAGTTATGGAATAACCAGAGGATTGTATTATCTGGACTCTAATACTAGTTTTTAATGCTATTGAGCCTTCTTAACTCTAAAAACTAGCTCAAAAAGCGAGACGTTTCGTCACACTTATAACCAAGTATCTAACCCATTTCTCAACTGATGCAGGATAAACCAACAAAAATCTTCCACATAACCTTTGTCCATACTGAGTATAGCCACAGAAAGACTACTCAAATCCAGAGGTTGCAACTCTCTTGATGGCTTACAGAACTTTCGGTTTGAAGCTATATCTGATAGCCTCCCACATACAGATGATTCTGATGCTATTCAGGACATCAGTTCTGTCTCTGACTCCACCACTAAAAACTGCTAGTTCCATTTGGCCATTTACTTTACAGGCTCAATGACAGTACTGTCTCCCAAAGTCCCACTGGTCACCTGTGTTGTTTTCGATGGTGCTATGTCCTTTACAGTTGATGCTGCTGAAGAATTAGGAATTTCTGACATACTGTTTCATACACTTAGTGCTTGTGGTTTTTAGACTACACACAATTCTGCATTCTTGTTGAAAAAGGCTTGACACCTTTCAAGGGTATCAAAACTCTTTCAGGTGAGAGAATACACTAATTTGCTGTGATGCAGATGCCAACTATCTGACCAACAGGTACCTAGAAACTACTATAGATTGGATTCTAGGAATGAAAAATATTCGTCTAAGGGATCTCCCAACTTTCATTAGAACTACAGACACAAATCATATCATGGTCAGCTTCCTCATAAGGGAAATAGAGAGAAGTTCAAGAGCTACTGCCATCGTTTTGAACCCCTTTGACTCCTTCGAACATGAGGTTTAGGATGCTCTTTCAACAATGTTTCATAAGGGAGATAGAGAGAAGTTCAAGAGCTACTGCTATCGTTTTGAACCCCTTTGACTCCTTCAAACATGAGGTTTAGGATGCTCTTTCAACAATGTTTCCTCCTATTTATACAATCAGTCCTCTCCACTTGCTTGCTGATAATCAGATAACAGCTGATAGACTGAACTATATTGGTTCAATCTAAGGAAAAACAATCAGACTTCACTGATTAGTATGATTCAAAAGAACCAAATTCTAGGGTGTGTAAATTTTGGAAGCATCACTATGCAAACACCACAGAAAATGCTAGAATTTGATTGGGTCTAGCTAACAGCAAACAAGCTTTCTTATGGATAATAAGGCCTGATATTAGTGGCCGCAAGTTCGACAATTTTGCCATCTGAATTCCTTGCAGAAACAAAGGATAGAGGCCATATTGGAATTTACTTTGACATTTTGGATGAAAACACTTAACAAGCATGTGTAAATTGGACGAAATCTTCTAATTATCAAAATAAGACTATTTAGTAGGTTTTTTCTATTTTAATTGGTGCGGTGCCTATAAATATGCATCTCACCTAGGGATGGCAATGAGCTGGATATAAAATGGATATCCATTTAACCCGGTCCAATAAATACCCATTAAGAATGTCCAATGGGTATTGAAGTGGAGAAGGATAAAAAATACATACCCAATTATATAGTTTCAGAGTATGGATACCTACTCTTTATCCTATTAATACCTACTAATATATTTAAATTTTTTTATTAACATACAAAGATCTAATTGCATAAAATTTCAAAATTAAGGACCAAAATATTTTTTTTGAAAACTTTAAGGACCAAAAAAATATAAATAAATGACCAAAATGCCAAAATATTAAATTTTAAGGATATTTTTTTAAAAGAAATTATAAGGATTAAAATGAATATTTTTGATAAATTAAATTTTATAGGTATTAAATGGACGAGATAAACTAATATGGACCAGGTAAAGATTTATATGATAATTTCTTAATGAGTAATGGGTAAGGTATTCTTTTAAATGGTATGATAAAAAACTGAATTAATAGATCGAGTATCTATCCATTGCCATCCTTCTCACCTAAACATTCAATTTATGTTGTGACTACTGATCAAATAAATTCTCTCAGAGAATTGGTTCCCTTAATTTGTTTTCTTGTTGGTTGTTCTACACCACTAACATGTGTTGCGAAATAAGAATTACGCCTACCAGGTTGCAGGAACTTTTTGTTCTAAAAATTTACAAGATACTTGGCACAATGCTCCTACATGCAGCTAGAGTAACATAGTTGATGGCAAGTGTGCGCAAGAAGTACTAACAAAAAAAATGTTAAGGCCAAGTTTGGTGTAAATATGTGGATAGAGGGGATCATTCCTTGGCCTTGTTGGTTGAGGCTTAAGCAATATCTTTTTTCTTTTTTTTTCCCTTCTCTCTCTTCTAATATGTCTCCTCAAAAGTCATGCTGAAATAAATTTTTATCTTATTCTTGATGACACATTTAAGTTATGGTTAAAGATGATTTATCTACTATGGAAAATCAAAACCAAGTGTGATTCATCATCAGCAAAAGGTTTTCTAGTCTAAAAATAAGTTGTGAAGATAGGTTTCTTAGTTTAAGGGTTCGAATTTCAGTCATAGGCTATTTTGTAAGCACGGACAGAGTTGTAATTTCCATTTGTTACTGCATATCAGGCTATTCTAGTAACTTTCAGAATTACTTGAAGGTCTAGTCTTTTTTAGTAAGTTGGTGTCCAAATCTTTAATGTTTATTCCAGTCTTAGTCTTTTACAGAGTCCTAATCTCTATAAACACAGATGGTCAGTTTAATTTTCAGTAAGAGTTTAGTTGAGAAATAAATTGCAATTTATGTTATTCTGAAGGCTTGGTGCCTAAGGTTTCTTCTTCTGTCTCTTTCCCTTCTATTTTCTCATAATTCTTCTCCTTTCTTGCTTTAAATTTTACTGCTACAACACTGCAACGTACTGTTCACAGCTTAATTTCGCCTAATTTCTTCCCAAACAAGTTCTATTGAACTCTAATTCCACAAATAACAAACACGAACCCTTCATAGCACACAACTGCTAAATCTGTCCTACATCAATTTAGTATCAAAGCCTGGTATCCTTCCCTATTTCCTGGATTTATTCCTTTTCCTTTTTTTTTTTTTTTTGGGTACTTTGTTCAAAGTTTGTCTTTTCAAAGGATTCTGAGACGTTTCCAAAAAAAATTGTAGACTACAAACAGAAGCTTGTGTCAATTGCATCAACATTGGATGAGATACAGTGATGTTGCAGACTTTAACATCCAATGATCAAAGAAAAGACCTGCTGAATCAGCCACCAAGCAAGAGTTTGAACTTCCTAAATTAGGTCCAAAATCAACCCATGCTTCTTTCAAAACATGCCGGCTTTTCAACCTCTATTTCTCAAGTACCAGAATCACAAATATTTGTTGTCAACACATCAAATTATTGTGATATCAAAGTCAATGAATTAATGGGGGCAGGAAATTTGAGGAAGTTGTTCTAAAGCAAGCAGATGGGCAGACCTAAGACAGTAAGTTGAAGGCAATAAGAATCAACTTGAAGCATGAACATGTTTTACCAAGGAAGATGTGCAATATGCGTCAAGTAATGATTTTATAATACCAAAGAAGTTTCACCTTACCTTGAAAAATCACTCTTTGCTTTGTGGAGTTTTTTCTAAAGAAGTTAAGGTACTTCAACATCACAAAACTTGCGGTTCAGTTTTTTCAAAGAAAGGAAGAATTGATGACGTACTTAAGTTATGGTTAAAGATGATTTATCTACCATGGAAAATCAAAACAAAGAGGTTTGCATGATTCTTCAACAACAAAGAGGCTTTCTAGTCTAAGAATAAGCTATAATGATAGGTTTCTTAGTTAAAGGATTTGAATTTCAATGATGGGCTATTTTGAAAGCAGGGTCAGAATTGTAAAATAAGACAGTGCTGAATACCTTTTCCATGACAGAGCAAAATAGGCAAGGAAGCAGCACGCCTTGCAGCTTCACCCTCTCCTATTTTTTTACTTAGGGTCCTGGGAAGTAACAGAACATAAAATTATACGCAAACAGTACACTACATAAAGGAAAACAGAGAGGGGACAAAACCATACTTTGAACATGGAAGCCAACCACTTAATCCAACAATTGCACTTAAATTGGCTGGATATGTGTTGCCGTTTGAGAACTTTCCAGCAGCAAAGCAGGTAGCAGAATACAGAGCAGTTGCAGCACCCATGCTGAAGCCTCCAATTCCAAGTTTAACTGTCACATAGATATATTTGACATCAAAACCAAGACAAACATTAAACAGTTTCAAGAGGGTAATATGATTTTGCACGGTTGTCAACAGATTCATTATGTTCATGTACAGGCATGATCTAGTCTCACAAGTTATTTCTGGAACCAGATTGCAAACTTAGTAACATACTAAATGTCTCTGACAAAAATAGTCAAAATAAATTCCAAGTAACTTCATCGTCACATATAAAATATCTGAAAAAGAAAACCTACTGTCAAAGGGCTCTGTTGACATCAAATTTGCCACATGTAATGCTGCAGCATCCAGACCCTCTATATCATCAGGAGCATCTTCTGAAAGGTCTCCCACATCAAACCCTGATTTGAATCATCATGTTAATTCAGATTTATTAGCTTAAAAAATTGGAATAACTACCGAAAGCCCCTAGTAAATAAATCTTCTATCCTAAAACCCAACAAATTGCTTTTGTACCCTTAAACCAAAAACTAAATTCTCTACCCCAAAGCATCCAACTACTAAAATTCCACCAAGCACTATTAAAAGGGTTTTTGTTAATTTGGCCAAACAACCAAAAACTAAGATTACAAAAAAATAAAAAATAAAATAAATAAATAAATACCTAAATAACAATCTTATAAAATAATCTATTACAATCTCTCTCGAAAAAAAAAAAATCTTTTATAAGTAACCTAGAAACCGTATATTCTCAAAACTTCAAAGAAGTATTGAATCTACCTATTACAGTTGGTGTTAAACCTCCAACCAAACAATTTAAAAACTAACTCTTGCACCCTTAAAAATTACTCATCTAATAATTAATCCTGTCATCACCACAAAATTTTTAACCTCATCAGAAAAATGGCCTAATTTAGACAACATAATTAACTTTCACCCCTATTCTGCAAATGAATTCTTCTTTTATATGTAATATAAATAAAATTAAGGTGAGCAATATGATGCATTGACACATTTTGTTCTAAAACGTTATTTCCTAGTCAAATACAATTCTTGTATGACTTCATAGTACTGGATCACCCAGGTGTTGTGATGATTTTAAATTTGGCAGAGCATGAAAACTTACAAGCTGTTGATGGGAAACCCCCAAATACAGTTATTGGTTGAGTCGGAGCAGTTGGGCATATCCATTTAATCTACACCAGATAATAATTATCGCAGTTATTAGTGATTAGTGATCAAAATTCGAACCATTCAAACATAAGCAAAACAGTCCATTATTTATACAAGCATTTAATAATTTTGTAGTGAGGTTGTCCTTACATTTGGAAGAGGAAGCTTCTCCAAGAGCTGTGACCAGCTGCCAAACATGATCAAACAATACATTAATTTTTTTTTTTAATTTTTTTTGAAAATAACAAAAAAACAAACTCACTGAATGAGAAATTGACAGTCTTCTATAGTATCTTGTTTCCTTTTTTTTTTTTTTAACTCCTCAATCCTTTTAGGACTTGCAACCAATCCTATTTATAATGATTAAAAAGGCACTAATCTTAAAGCCATTTAAAAGTTCCATAACGGACATAATGGATGATTAAGTTATCACAAGAAAATGCATCGCAAAAGAAACGAAACAAAGTTGAGGTTGAGATAACCCAGAAATACGCCACCACAATGTGTATGAAAAGATCATCCCTCATTATATTTTCTTTATGAAAATATAATCTAAAGAAAATATAATCAAGGATGCGTTTAACCAATAGGAAATTCATATTTACCTTGAGCCATTATCACCAAGGCCATGTAGCCAGACAACAGTGGCTAGGTGTTTACCTTTGGGCCTAACCACGTAAGTCCTTCCAAATTCTATTGCTCTTCTAACAGTTTTACCGCCTAAAATGATGTTAAAACAGAGCTCAGTCACATAATAAAAGGTAAAATGAATTGAAATTACTAAAATGCAGAGATTATTTAATCACTACATGTCTGGTGGTGCTTGTTGTTGATGGAATATTCATGCGGAATTTAACACAGTAACTTTCTTATATTGATATGTAAAGGAGAAGCTAAGGAAATAAACTAACCAGAACCCAGGGAAGGACCAGTAAGACTCATGTTATCCCACCAAAAGATAGCCACTGCCTAAATGCTTATTGCAATGACTGAGAAAAGCAAACTACCTGCAGTAAAGAAAGACATACCACCTAACTTTTTGCAGCTTTAAAATCAAAAAAATTTAAGCAAAAAGTCAATCAACGGGATTATTTATTACAAACAGAAATATGCTAGTCCTGATTCCAAGCAATTTATAATCATTAAAAAAAAAAATCAAACAAAACAAAAGGAAAATGGATTTCATGAATCTGGTAATTGTTTAAAATGAAACAAGCCAAATTGATGGATAGAAGATGATTCAAAAGTGGATTTAGTTAAGTTAGGGTTTTAAGCATTTTACCAGAAGAAAAAAGCTTTAGCTCTGATTTTGGAGACTCCAAGGCTAAGGCAACAGCAACCCAACAAAGAACCAGTTTTTTTTCCTGACCACAACAAAAGAAAAGATTTGCTGTCCATGAACTTCTTATACATGTGCTAGTATCTTTCTTCTTTCCTTTTTTTTTTTTTTAATAATATTTTTGCCCTTTTTATTTTTCAGTAAATTATAAATTAATTTCTCTAGTTTGGATAAACGAATTAATTAATATTTCTTGTTTTAAATTTTAATGATTTAATTTTTATATTTTTTTATTTTTATATAACTTAATTATTATTTTATTTTATTTGTTTTTTACATAGATTAAAAAAACAATATGAAAGGATTGATAAGAGAAAATAATATTTTTTGAAATAAAATAATATTAAATTAAATATGTTCGATACTTTTATTAAAAGACTAAGAAATTAATTTATAAAATAAAACATACCAATTAATTTATTTATAAAAAATATTTATAATTTACTCTCACTTTTATGCAATTCATAATTGTCCAAGAATAAAAATAATAAAGTTAATCAGTCAATTTTTAGTGTAGCCATACCTTAATCTTTTATGTTTCAAAATATGTAAGTTTTTTAATTGTTGCTGACCATTGTGTTTTTAAAATATCCATTGATTTTTGTTTAAACTCTTGTTACGTTGATTTTTTTTTTTTAAATTCAAATTGTCAATGGTACATATGAGTTAAAAAAAAAAAAAAAAGATCGACAAATATTTTTAATAAGACAATGGCAAATAAGAATTTGTGGGTGAAGTTCTTAAGAACTAATCAAACGACTAGTTAATAGATCGATTAGGATATAAAGAGTTACTATTATGACTTGTAAAAGCAACAATCAACTAATCAATTAGAATGGAAACAAGTAGTGAAAAGTGTGAGAGGAAGAACAAACGGTGCCAACAAGGCATAAGTCTAGTGGTTGACGAGTGAGTGCTTAAAGTTCAAACCGATTGAACTTTAAATGTTATCTAGTGTGTGAGTGAGAGAGTTTTGAGAGAATGCATTTAAAGATTTTGTTAAGAATTAGAAAGTTCAAATCCCCTCATAATAATGTAAAAGTGATATTTATAGTGAATTAAAGATATACATTGATTACTAGAATCATATCACATTAAATAACCAAGTATAATGGAAGCAAGTAGTGAAAAGCGTGAGAGAAAAAATAGACAGTGCTAGCAAGGCACAAGTCTAATGGCCGACAAGTGGTTGGTTAAAGTCCAAACGGATTGAACTTTAAATGTTGTCTAATGTGTGAGTGGGAGAGTTTTGAGAGAGAACATTTAGAGATTTTACTAAGGATTAGAAAGTTTGAATCCCCTTGTAATAATATAAAGTTGGTATTTATAATAAATCAAAGATATCCATTAATTGCTAGAATCATGTAACGGTATCTAAGTTGGGATTATGCTAGTTGAATTGAAAAAACTTGTTTTTTTTTTTTTTTTGGATTAAGTTATTTTAACGAGCTAGCAAAGACTAAAAACAATAATAATTGTGTCTTTTTTAACAAACATTACTTCGAACCCACCAAGTCAATCTTCTTAATGCATCCAAAGACAAGGCATGAATGTTGGTCCTACTATAATACTTTTATCCATTCTTATATATGCCAAATGTTATGCTAGACAAACCCATTCTCGATCCAATCCTTTTCTCGTGTAGTTTGGATCCATGCCAAGACCAAGAAAAATATAACATGGATTAACACATAACAAAATTAACTAAATTACTTAATTAGTTTTAGAAAAAAAAATTAAGCTTATACATTTAGCCTCATGCATAGGCGAGTCTTACCAACAAAAGCGTTCGTGCAATCATGTATGGCGAGATAAAGAAAAATAAAATTAGAAAAAATAACCTAACAATGATTGTGATAAACTTGTCGTGAGTCTCTCATCTAATATCAAGTAAATAATAAAACACGATAGGCTAGTCATGAGCCTTCCAATGCACAATCGCCACTTGCAAACTTGACATGCACCTCCTTGTTCGGTAAGTAATGCAACCATATAGTTTTGCTTATTAGGTTCAAATCACAAAAGTGCTCGAAAATGGCCCTTCGAAATGGATTTTGACTAAAAAATTCTTTCATCAACACCAATGCAAACCTTTAACTCTTCGATGCTAGAATCGCTCCTAATATTACCTTTTAATAGATTACAACATTATGAGAATGCAACAAGCTTGATCAAGCTTTGAATGTTCAATAAATCTTTAACCTTTCCTTTAAGATATTCCACTAAAAAAAGCCTATTGGCTCGAAGTGTGGGTAAATTGAAAATTTTAATGAGTTCATCACGATCGAGTACTTTAGCACGATGGAGAACTAGTGATTTTAACCTAATTAACATATCCAACTCGGATTTCGATAAGTTATAGAGCTAGTGCATATATTTAGAATTGTTTTTCCCTAAAAATTTTTATATGTTATCCATTGTGATTGTTTAGCTCTAGATGCTACGACATGTGGAGGAGATGGTGGTGGCTTTGAGATGAGATCCTAGCCAATGACTCGGAATGGTTAGCTAGGAGAAAAGATGAAAGAAAGAAATGGGGTAGTAGGTGGATAGGGTTTCGCTTTTAAGAGTCGATTTTGTTGTTAAGTATTTATTTATTTATTTTTAGGGTTTGGCATCCTTTTATGGTTAGTAGTGTTGGCTAGTATTATTATTAGTCATTCAATGTGTAATTTTTTTTTTTTTTTGCTATGTTTTTTTTACTTGCATAAGCATAGTAATTTGGCATTATCACTTTATTTTGGTCCCTAACTAGCCATATTAATTTGGCATTGGCATAGGTATTGCCACTTTATTTTGGTCATTAACTGACCATATTAATTTGGTATTGCCACCAACCATATTAATATAGTCTTACCACTATACTTTGGTCTCTAATCGCCTACACTAATTTGGCATTACCACTCTAGTTTGGTTCTTAACCAACCACACTAATTTGTTCTTACCTTTTCATTTTGATCATTTACTAGCCATGCCAATTTAGACTTGTCACTCAATTTTGGTCTCCGACCGACCACATTAATTTGTCTTTATCATTCTATTTTGGTCATTAACCAACCATGCGAATCCGGCATTGCTTATTTTAGTATTTGAGAAGTCACATTAATTTATCCTTATCATTCTATTTTGGTCCCTACTTAGCCACTCTAATTTAGACTTGTCATTCCATTTTGGTCCTTGATCGATCAAATCAATATTTTTTTTAAAAAAAAATGGCCAAATGTATTAGCTTTTCAAGGCATTTTTGTGGCCATCACTCTTTATAGTAATAAGGTTTGCTTAAAAGTTTTGGTTAAGTATAAGTGGAGCCTTTGCTTGACGGACAAGTAGTCCTTCAAGTGCCATGTTAGGCATCTTATCACTTGGTAATTCTTTGCCAAAAATTTAGCTATGTATAAGTAGATAAATTGCTTAACAAATATGTGGTTCCCAAGTGCTATGCCGAACACCTTATCACTCGCTAATATTTTTCAAAAAAAAAAATTGATTTAAAATATTGGCTTCCCTCTTATTTTTTTGAATTGGTCAAGATGTGACAAGAAGGTAACTTTCAAGCGAGGAGACACATTAGTAGAAAATTCATACTTGTCAATGGTAATAATTTCATCATATAGGATTCTTAAGAACATCCATATGAAGATCAATATCGAGTTGCTAAGTCTTAAATGTCATTATTTTGAGAAAATACTTAAAGATTATTTTGATATGGACAAATCAATGTAGAGAGACAATTAGTTATCGAGCGATTCTTGACTCCTCCTTAACTTTTCGCTTTATCAATTTACGGGGTAAAAATTTATCTCGAGTGCTTAGTCGGTAATGATGAGATTGGATTTTTCTTTCTCATACCGAGTGTAATACTCCGAATCTATGAATAAATGAAATAATATATTTTAAATATGAATAAAATTATTTTATATGCATAAAATAATTGTTAGAGGGGTGCTATAATTTTCTCGTACACTTAGGATAATTTTTACGTGCTTGGTGAATATTTTATTAACTTGTCCGTACATGAATATTGTTTTTTTTTTATGCAAAACAATTATTTTGAATATTTTAAATGTGTATGAAAATTTTTCTATAAGCATAGAATAATTTTGAGAGGGGTTCTAAAATATTCCATGCACTTAGGATAATTTTTCCGTGTTTGGTGAATGTTTTATTGGTTTCTCTATATGTGAATAGTAACTTTTATGTAAAACAATTATTTTTAGTTTCTAAATAAGTGCATAAAAATTATGTGATTAATGAATAAATTTTTATAAAAAGTGTATGAATTATTATGAAAATAAATTATTTTTCCGTAAGTACGTAGAATAAATTATGTACTTAGGGATTTAATTGCATAAGAATTGGAGACTTAATTGCATAAAATTAAAATTTTTGGCTCTTAAATAATTTCAAAAGTAAATTTCAAGGAGGCATAAAAATATTTAAAAAGCATAAGGAAAGGACTAAAGATATTCATTTGAAAATTTGAAGGATCAAAATATAGGGACTAAATAAAATAATATGATAAATTGAGGGACCAAAATTAATATTTTTAGCAAATATTTTTCTTCTCCAGCCAGCCACTTCATCCCTCCTTTAATGAGTGTAA